GCTTCAGCCATTCCCCAGAGCTGGAGCGGTGGTCAATGGGCCCCGGGGCTGGTGGCAGTAGCTGCTCCAGTGACCAGGGCTGGGCCGCTGCATGGCAGGTGGCAGCAGCTCCCATGGCCAGGGCAACTGGGTGGTGGGCAGCTCTGGTGGCCGACCTGCCCCAAAGCATGGTGGGTGGTGACGGCAGCTCTGGCAGCTGGGGCCAGTGTCACGTGGCAGGCAGGGCCAGAGCCAGAGCTGCGTGGCAGTTGGCTGCCCTGTTTCAGGGCCAGCCTTAGGGCGGGGCAAACTAGGTCCATGCCCCGGGCACCACAGCCAAAAGGTGCTGGGCAACTGGCATGGGTGTTTCTGAGCAACAGAGGTGGAGGGCACTGGCCAGGGAGACAGCTGCAGGGCATGCCGGAAGCACAGGATGAGGGCTGGGGGCACAGCTGGCAGGAGACTATAGAGGTTGGGATGGAGGGGGCACTGTGCAGAAGTTAAGGGCAAAGGAGGCACAATGCAGGGTTAGTGGCAAAGTGTGCACACGATGGGATACAGGGGTTGGGGAGTCCATGGATGCAGCAACAGTGGGATTAAGGCTGGGTGGGAGTGAGACTGAGTGCCAAGTGTCATGCACCTTGTTAATTAGAGAGAGACAGAGTCTCTCTCTTCCTCTCCCTCTCCCATGTTATGGGTGCCCACAGTGGCACACATCCGAACAAGTACACAGGGCATCAATATTGGTGCTCAAGACAAAATTCACTCTGCTCACAGATGAAAAATCTTAGCAGGAACGCTGGCTGTGAGCCAATACGTGAGGATCAATCTTACTAAAGTTACTCAAAACAAAATCTCAACCATTACACTGCATTTCTTGACAATGTAATCAGGACTTCCAGTTTTAAGTTGTGATCTGTGGTCGTTTTGGGGTCCAGGAGGGAGGCAGGTGCTAATCTCTGGTGGGAGGGTGACAGGTTAACACTCTCTGTTTAGAGCTTCCCCCATTATAGAAATAAGCCAAATTCACTGGAGTCCCTTGCAAGCGAGTGCAGAGAAAGCATTCCAGTTTTGTTCCCAAAGCGACTGTGGTGCAAACCTGGCCAACCAGTGTCGTGACACTCCTGATCAAATCACATCTGAGAGAGGCCTGAGGCTGAAAAGGACACAGAGAAGAAGTAAACCCAGATCACATATTGAAAGCAACACTAAATAATGATAAGAGAGTCCTACTGAGTCATTTGGTTTATATAAAGCTCCTGAAATGTGCAATTCCCATTAATGAAGAATGGTGGGTCCCATTCCCACTGTAAGAGGCTGAATAACAGAGTTATTAAATCATCATTTCTGAACTGCAAGGTGTCAGAAGTAAGAGACTGTGATATCTCCATTCGCTTTCAACCAGAAAAGTGATTGCCACCTACCTGAACCACACTTATTAAAGAAAATATTGGTTGATTGAAATCTTCAGCACTTTGGTAGTTGCATATATTAACAGGGAGAGAAATGTCAACTGCTTTAAAACTGTAAATCTGAAACTCAACGTTTAAACTAAAAGCTCAAATCTGTTCTCATTAATATCAATGGAAAAACTCCCACTGGTTGTTTACTGAGAGAAGAGTTAGGCTCTAGTTATACACAGCCTTCCTGTCCTATAAAACACGGAACTGTTATCAAACAGCATGCGGAAGGAAAACAAGGCAATTCTGCATTCAGGTATGATGAATTCAGAATGGCTGGACACTAGGAACAATGGGATCATCAGGCAAAAAGAGCCAATTCTGGAATTACCTGGTAAAACACAGATGATAGGCAGTGTGATCCAACACTAGGCTATGACTCAGGAGGCTCATGTTCAATCCATCATTGCCAGTGGCCTGCCTATTCCCCTCCCACCCTTGGTCTGCCTTGTCTGTTTAGATGGCAAACTTCTCAGGGCTCATCTCTTCCAAAGCATTTATGCAGAGCCAAACTGAACCTCAATCCCAACTGATCGCTCTAGGCAGGGTTACCAATACACAAAGCATGCAGCTGTGTGGGGCACCTCAAAATGTGGGACACCAAATGTCATGGTGCCCTATTCAGGTGAATGCTACATATGGGCTCCAGTGGCTCCCAGCCCCATTCCCCACCCTACCCTGCAGGCTGCACCCAGCCCCAACTCACCAGGCAGCGGTGACTGGCACAAGTGTGGACTAGAGAACGCAGGAGGGGCGAGGGGCAGCTGCGCAGCCAGTAGCCAGAGAGAAACGATGGTTTCCCCTTCAAAGCACCACTTTTCTCTCTGGTGGGCTGTGCAGCCGCCCTCGAGACCACCTGCCTGCTCCCGAGGCTGCAGGTGAGCCTCCTTCCCTGCCCTGCTCCTCCCCCCAGAGCTTTCAGCCCCCACATCTTGTGAGGCTGCCGGTGTGCCCAAGGGGGGAAGGGGTGCTGGTGCTGGACTGCACAGGGCACCAGCAATGGTAGGAACGGCCCTGCCTCTGGGTACTAGTGTAATACAAACAAATCATCATTGTCACCATCAACGGGGCTTCAACCTGCAGATCGATCCTCTCGACTGGGGACTGGGCAGAGAACAGACCCAGCAGTAAAGCACTTCACCCAGAGACGCCTGTTTTCAAGAGCACATGCACTGTTGGTAAGTCTGGCACAAGGCAGGGCGGTTGACAACCCACACAATCAGTCTAGACTTGCATTATTGAAGTAGTAAACTGTTACCAAGAACTGCATTTGCTCCAACTTCTACAGCACCAGTATCACTGAAATATGAGTCAGGTGGAGCCAGAGTAAACAAATGCCCAAATTAAACAAAGAATTATGGAAGGACCAACCCACGGGGGCGGTGCCAAGGATGCACACAGTACAAAGTCAAACTCCATATGTGTGAACAAACTGAGTCAATATGGAAAGCATGTGAAGAGAAGAATTTTTTCACTTGCTTATATACCAAGGGTAGGAGTCTTGGATGCAAATGAGAGGAATTGGTAATTTTCACTGATGAGAAGACATTTCTTGAAACCTCTATTACTGAAACCAGGTGGGAAGGTTCCAGCACAAATGGAATGCTTAAATCAATGGCTATAGCCTGATCAGGAAGGACAGAGTGGGTAAAAGAAATGGGAAGGAGAGGGGCACTCTACATTAAAGACCTGTTACCAGTGATGAGGGTAATTAAGAATACAGAGCCATGAATGCATATGGATCAACTGCTAACTAACAAAACCCAGAAAGGGCTACTAGTGGAGTTTTGTTACATGCCACCAAATCAAACCAGAGTAGGGATGCAATAGTCGATTAACCGATAAGCAAAAGCTTATAGGTTAATACTATAGACTACACACATTTCCTCTCTACCACATCAGTACATTTTTTTTTAGCAGGCTGGCCAGCAGCCCGGTTCAGTCCCACCCCTGCTGCGGCTCTGCATTTCAAGTGTATTAGGCAGGCAGCCTGACTCAGTCCTGGCTCACGCCAGGTCCAGGACCTACCCCCGTTGCAGCTCTGCATTTAAAGTGTATTAGGAGACAGGTGGGCAGGCAGCCTGGCTCAGTTCTAGCTCACTCTGGGTCCGGGGCATCAAACCCTTCCCAGATAGTGGCTGCTGCCACCCCACACTGCTGCCCCTGTATCAGAGTAAGCAGCACAGGGCGACAGGCAGCTGGTCCACGATGGGAGCTGGTTTTTAAACTGGCTCCCCTTGCAGACCAGCTCCTGCCTGGTCCCTCACATTGCTGCCTCTGATACAGAGGCAGCAGTGCGGAGTGGCAGGGGGCCTCTTGGGAGTGGGGCCAGAGCTCATTAGCTGCCAGCCCCGCCCCAGGGGCTATAGAATAGTCAACTAACCGCTAAATATTCAAGAGGTTAATAGATTATTCAATCAATTGACATTTAACATCCCTAAACCAGAGAACTGGACAAATTCATCCTTAAGTACTGGGGATGTAAAAAAGGTTAACCCAGTATTAGGGTTACTGGAATGCATACTTGGTAACCGATTAACCGGAGTGCTAGCTGCATGGCACCAGCCAGCAGGAACCCAGCCCCATCTGCGCCACACAAGCCACATCAGGGCAAGCAGCATATCAGCCCCATCCACACTGCAGTGAGCCTGGCAGTGGGCCCAGACTCTGGCCCTGGCACATCAGCCCCGCCATGCCTGCCCACAGCCTTGGAAAGACACCCCACCCTGGCTGCCCAATCCCCACCAAGGGTTAACCAGTTAAATGATATAATTTTAATCCAGTAATCCTGTAATTTTAATCCTGTTGTGATCAATTTTTACATCCCTATTAAGAATCCACCTGTAAAGTGTGTTACGGAAAACTGGAATGTTGAGGGGACTTCAATATAGACACCATATACTGAGGAGGGGAGTGTCTCATGAAGCAAGTATGAAACATCATCATTTGGAGTTTCTGAAAATAATGACACTACTTCATTTAAATAAAAGGTACTGCTGCAAGTTAGCTCTATTTTGGACTTCATTATGAGAAATGAAAATAAACTTAATCACTGGACTGAAAGTGAGCATGATCTGATTACATTTAATGTGGGCAAGGCATTGTCCCAATCAGTAACTGCTGATAGCTGATGCTTCAAAAAGGCTAATTTTTGAAAGCTGAGGAAAGTTATCAGAGAAACAGATTGGTAGGAAAAACAAAGAGAAAAAAAGTGAATAAAAACAGGGAATTCTTGGCCTTTCTGTAAGGTATGCTTCAGTCAAACACAAATAACTGGACTCAATGCAGAACAACTAGGTGAAATGTAAAGGCATGTGAAAAACAGAAGGTCTGGATAAATAATCTAACAGTCCCTCTGGCCTAAAAATCTATGACTTTTTCATACTGCTCAATAATCAGCTTAGCCTATTAATTTCCATAATGTTTGGATATTTTTCTGCACTGAGGTTAAAGGCTGCACAGTAAGGACCCTTCTTCTTTATAACCAAAGTAATGGGGAGTGGAGAGGGTGCCAATCAGCTATAAATTGCAATATTCCTCTCTTCAGCTTGCAAGACTTACTCAGAAATGTGTACAAAGATGTCTGGCCCTCCATCCGCAGGAGTAATGAAGCCATGGCCTTTGGAGCGACAGAAGCATTTACAGACTCCTTTGTAGACAGGGCCTTCAGAGGCCCGCACAGTCCTGCACAGGGAGAGGGAGAGAATTCACAATCAGCAGTTGTATGTGGGCTTCCGCCAACATCAGAGCTAGAGAATGCCATCCAAACAGAATACAACAGTCCAATGCTCAGTCACACACCACTAACATGTCTCTCTGTGCATACTATTTGTACACACAATACATCCACTACACACATCTTATCTAACACCCCGACAGCCTTCACAAATGGGTCAAAATCAATATAGATCTGTGCTGGTGCTATAATCCAGCAACTGACACCCTTAAACACATGTGCTGGGATTGCATTAGAGTACAGATTTTCAGGAAGTCTTATCCCAGGAGCTTCTCAGGATATTTACATAACAGAGTCAAGAGCCAATGAAGTCAATATAAGGACTCCCCGTCCTATCAGGCCCTTAATTGCTGTGGATAACATCACCCATCAAAAAAAGCTCATCTGCTAGTTCCCCAATTGCTGACAGACCTGCAATAGCTGCAAGTTGCTATGGGACAACATGGGATATCCTGATCATGAAAAAATGTACTAAAGTGAACTGGGATAAAAACACATGATATTTTACTCATTTTTTTCCTCTCAACTATACTTATATGGGCACCCAGGCAGTCAAACTACCTGTCTAAATGCCTTACAGATTCACTAAGTTGAAATAAAATTCACTCCGTTTCCACTGACTGTGCTTGTAACTCTTTTTCCATAGTTGCTTGTTAACATTGCCTTCCAACATCCAGTTTTGCCTTTACACTGGCACACTCGCTTTCTCTTCTCTGCCCACGACTCCCTAGAACAATTCTCAAACAGGATAGAAACGACTGCAAAGATTTTTGCACCCCAGCCATCACCTGCCCAGTGCCCATCACTGGCACACAGAAGCACTTAAAATACAGACAAACTGAAAGACTGAGGTCTTAGCAAAGTAGCATTTTACTGTTCAATGAGGTGTGCTTGGGCAACCCTGGCTCATTCCAGGGTGGGAGTGTAACGGCTGAACATGGCTTTATATTCTTACTACTTTAAAAATGTGTCTCTGTCTGCCCATTTGTGCATGAGTCTTTGTTCAAGAACTCCTCCTAAATGGTAAGACCCAGGACTACCAAATTTGGCATGAAGTTTCCTCTTATCATAACTTAAAACATGGTCAAGGTTTGATTGTGCCAGGACAATGAAATGTGTGTGAATTCAGACATGCGCCTGGCCGACAGGATGGCCACCAACAGGACAGGTGTAGCAACAAGCACATCGTCAGGGGTTCAAATGGGCATCCCATGAGTTTAGACAGGACCAGGCTGAGGTCCCACTGAGGAACAGGCTGCCAAACGTGCAGGTAAAGCCTGTCCAGGCCCTTCAAAAACCTGTTCACCATCAGGTCTGCAAAGAGGGTCTTACCCCTGGCACCCAGGTGGAAAGCGGAAATAACCACTAGGTGAACCTTAATCGAGGAAAAGGATAACCCCTGAAGCTGAAGATCCAGAAGGTAGTCCAGGACCAGGCGGCCTGGGATGTCCACAGGAGACACCCCCTTCTGGGTAGACCAGATATAAAATCACTTCCACTTAGCCAGATAAATAGCCCTAGTGGAAGGTTTCCTGCTCCCCAACAATACCTCCTGCACACGGGCCCGAACACTGAAACTCCACCGCTGTCAGCCACACGCCTTCCATGGCATGAGGTGCAGGGACCGCAGGTCCGGGTGGCAAAGCCTGCCAAAGTCCTGCATGATTGAGTCAGGGACTAGTGGGAGCACAACCAGCCTCTCGCATGACAGGTTCAGGAGGGTCAAGAACTAGTGCTGCCTGGGCCACATGGGTTCGATGAGAATCAGGGACACCCTGAATTCCCACACGTGCAGGAGCAGTGGACCCGTGGGAATGCATAAAGTAGACCCCCTCCCCAGATAAGGAAATACTTCATTCAATTTGAACTAAATCTCCCAGAGAGCCCATTCCCAGGCCCGTGAGGGAACAGAACCCCGAGCACTTCCTGTTCTGGAGCGTGGCAAACAGGTCCAGACAGGTCCCCACCTGCAGAAGATGTCCAGGGCTACATCCCCCGAGGGCTCACTTGTGGCTGGAGAAGGACCTGCTCAGCCGGTCTGCCAGAGTGTTCTGGGAGCCTGGGAGATAGGAGGCAATCGGGTGGATACCCGCCCTGATGCAGAGATCCCCCAGGTGAAGGGCCTCCTGATATAGGTGAGAAGAGCAGGCCCCTCCCTGCCTGTTGATGTACGAGATCGCCAACATGTTGTCGGACAGGATAAGGACCAACTTGCCCCTGAGCCGGGGAGAAAGGCCATGCGGACCGCTCGCAGCTCCCTGACATTGATGTGTAGGGAGAGATCGTCCTCAACCACATGTCTCTGAGGTGGGCCGGAAGGTCGGTAGAGGCCTGGAGAATGGGACTCCGGCACAGACCTCCTCCTCCCGGATTCACCAGTCCAGAGAGCGAATGACGTCGCAGGGGACTGTCACCTCTCTGTCCCATCCGCAGTGGGCGCATGCGGAGCCTGGCGTGCTGGATGACGTAGGTGCACACGTCCATTAGGCCCAAAAGGCGCATACAGGCCCTGGCCGTGGTTATCAGGAGAGTCTGCATGTCCCGGACACAGCAGCGGATATAGGGCAGGGCGGCTGCCCTGGGCCTCGCGCTTCAATAGGCCCCGCATCAGCGCCAAGGGTGGACTGTCCCGGCGGGATACCAGGAATTTCCTGGTGGGCCGTCTGCCAAAGGGCCAGCGGGCGGCTGCTGGAGGAGGAGGGGGATTGTGATGGAGCGCTGCAGCCCCTCACTTTAAATTCCCCGGCGCCGGCCAGTACGGGCCATGCGGGGCCAAGGGAGCGCATGCGCGGCGTGCTGAAATGCCGCACAACAGCTGAGAGGGAAGAGCCCTTTAAAACCACGTGGCCCAGCATTGCACCGCACAGTTCGGTACGTGGCCTGGAGCCTGGGCTGGGGCTGCGGCCACCCTGCAAACTGGAAGGCAGAAGGTGGATGGCAGAGGAAGGGGCTTGTGCTGAGGGGAGGGGGGGCAGGTCACAAGAAGAAAGGGGAAGGCACCAAGGGACAGGGGTTCAGGAGAGACAAATGTCAGGGGGCCAAGTGGAGACAATGAGGAAAAGGGCAGGAGGGGAAGTGTCAGTGAGAGAGGGGACAGGGTGACGCTGGAGAGGAGAGGGTAAGGGCACTGGGGGCTAAAGGGAGGAGGGGGCGGTTCTGGGAGAAGGCTTGAAAGGAGGGATGGGTATGAGGAAGGTGGGGATGGAACAAGGCATGTGTGAGGGCACAGGGGCATGAGGGGAATGGGGGCAGAGGGTGGTGAGGGGGTGGGCATCAGGGAAAAAGAGGGCAAAGGGGCAGTGCGGGAAGGGGGAGGCACCAGGAGGGTGCAGGGGTAAGGGAAGGTGCAGGTGCCAGAGGATTCTGGGGGTGAAGCAGAAGGGCAGACACCTGCAGTGGAGGGGCCAGCCCCAGAGAAGAGAGGCAGAGCAGGTGTCTAGTGGGAGGTGTTAGGAGAGGGGATGAGGAGGGGGAGCTCACATGATCAGAGTGGGGCTACTGGAGGAGTGGGCACAGGGGGGACACCTTTTTTCTGTTTTTTCTCCAAAGGGGGGGTCCCGTGAAATTGTGCTGCCCTGGGCCCCGCAAAACTCTCATCCGCCCCGATCTGAAGTTTGCCAGAAAGGGCTCTCAGAGGATTTACAGCCACAGGTGAAATATCTGTTGGAGCAACAATTACAAAGCCTCCAGGCAGATTGGCAGCTGGGCTTCCCAAACTGCTAATCTAGAATGGTAAAACAGAATGATGAGGTGACCAATAATCTGAGATGCAGAGGTGGTTCTCCCTGGGGAGATTGCGTAGGGGCTTCTATTCCCAGTATTTCCTGATCCCAAAAGCCAAGGGCAGGTTTTGCCCCATCCTGGACCTCTGGGATCTCAGTGGGCGGGGGGAAGAAGGGGAGAGAGCTTTTTTCTATTTTTTCTCCAAAGGCAGGAGGAGATGCTTCAGTTCCTTCCCTGGGGGCTGCAGAAGTCACCATCTTGAATTTGGTCTTGACAATGAAGGAGGCACTGAGATCCCGGAGGACCAGGATGGGACAAAACCTGCCCTTGGCTTTTGGGACCAGGAAATACTGGGAATAGAAGCAGGAGAGGGGGATAGGAGGGAGGGGCAGAACGGACGGAGATGACATACCCCCTTCCCACCATTTCTAGGACCCACCAGTCCTAGGTAATGGACTCCCAGGCCCGGTGGAAAGGGAACGGACGGTCCTGGAAAGAGAGGGATGAGGCATCTGCCATTCCTCCCATTGCCGTTCCTGTTGCAGCGACAGAAGTCAGGGCATGTACCCTGCTGGGAAGACCTAGGAGAGTTCCTGCCTGGGTAACCGGAGTGTGAATACCCAAGGACTTTAAGGTGACCCGGGTATCTTTGGGCAGATGTTGGTCTATCTGCTCAGAGAATAAGGATGGGCCTGCAAAGGATAGGTCCTGTATGGTGTTCAGGGGGCACTCCAGACCCCTGCAACCAGGAGCTGCAGCATAGAGCCAGCCCCGTGGCCACAGCCCATACAGCATCGAGGGCAGCCTTGAGCGCATCCCTAGAGATCACCGTGCCTTTCTCTGAGAGGGCTCTAAACTCAGCAGAGTGTCCCTGGGGAGCAGCTCGGAGAACATACATATGGAGGCCCAGGTGTTATAGGCATAGAGAGACAGCAGAACCTGCTCGTTCACTACGTGAAATTGAAGGCCTCCAGACGTGTAGGCCTTCCTGCCTAACAGGTCCATTTTCTTGGTGTCCCTATTTTTCAGGGTAGCAGTTGGCACTGCCTCTCCCTTTGGTTCACCGCCCGGACGACCAGAGGCCTTGGTAGTGGATGGGAGAAGAGGTATTCATTCCCCTCCTGGGACACAAAGTACCTTCGCTCAGTCCTCTTGTCTGTAGGTGGGACAGAGGCCACCGTTTTGTTGATGGGTAGGGCCACTCTGGTGGGGGTATCAGACTGCAAGATGTCAACAATCGGGTCGGAGTCCTCCAACACCCTCTCAGCCTGGACCCCAGTCGCTGTGCCAGGCAGTGGAGGAGGTCCTGGTGTGCTCTTGAGTCCATGGATGGCATGGAGGAGAGAGTATCACACAGGGCCTTGTCAGAGGAGCAAGATGAAGATGAAGACTCCATGGGGCGGTGGCCTGCGAGTGGACCTGAGAAGCCACAGGTGTGGGTGTGGGGAGGTTTGGCCTGGGGAAAGTGACTGCGCTGACATAGGTGACCAAGTCAGTGGGGTTGCCGAAGGAGGTACCCTAGACCCAGAGAAGACCGACTTCGGTCTAGAGGGGCCCACGCCCTGACTCTGGTGGTAGGCCCATGGGGTCCAAAACGGCCACTCAGATGGGCCTGGAGCCTGTGGGAGCCAGGAATGCTGCATCACTGATACCAGGACTGGCTGCGCCCATTGATGCTGTTGCTGATGAGCGGAGGTACTCTGGTGCCGTGACTGGTAGGAGTAGGACCGGAGCCAGGACCTAGATCCCCTGGACGACCAGGTGGATTCCGCCTCTGAGTCGGCTGATCCCGGGGCCAACCTGGGTGAGGCAAAGGTGGACGCAGCCGATGATCTGCTGACGAAGAGAAGAAGGGGCCATGGCCGGGCCCAGGCCCAGTAAGCCCTGAGGGGGGCCAGCAGTTGCAGTGGCTGGTGCCACACTCAGTGCCGGTTGAGGCCCTTGCCCTGATGCCGGGTCTGGTGCCGAGGCACTGGCCAGGGCTGAGGTCACCGCTGATGCTGGCCCTGCAGGCAGAGCAGCATTTTCAGCCACATTTCTTGATCTCTTCTGGACCATGCCATGAGCTTGGTGCAGTGCAGGCATTTTTGGGGAATGTGCTCCTCTCCCACGCACTTTATACAGCTCGCATGCCCGTCAGACGCTGTGGCGTAGTGAGGGGCTGTCTGCTCTGTAACCCGGTGTTCCCCTGCGCTGTGATATGAGATTCTCACTGACTCATCCAAATGTGTATTAACGCAGACTCCTAGGCTCAGCCTTCCAGGGAGAGAGACAAAGGCAGGGGAGGAAGAGACCAACAGGAGGTTTCGGGTGAAGGGGCAGTGGCTGTTGGGGGAAGTAGGGAGAGTATAGGCTAAGATGGAGTCAGAAGGAGAGAGACTGAGGAGGGGGCTCGGGTTTTAGGGGCCCAGTCACCTCCATCTCAAGGGGGCCTGAGGGATCCTAGCCCTAATTCCTGTAACCAGATTACATCTATGCTGTGCTGTACCCTGAAGGAACAATAAACTCCCTCTACACTACTGGCTGGGGGAGTCTGTTTGTGCTGCTACGGGGCTGCAGGGTCGGGAGAACCCCCAACTCGCCGTCACAACGCCACACTCGGAGCCAGGGTGGCATGTGAAGGGATCAGAATGGAGCAGTGCTTCTTTGGATCTGGCGCCCTAGCCTCTGACTGGTACCACCCAAGGTCCCGATCCTTGCCTGAGGTCGGTGCCAGGTTAGTAGAGGGGGACAGTTTAATCAGTTCCCTGGCCACCTCAAAAGCCTCGTGTTGAAGGCTCTGTGAAGTCCCCCACTAGGCTGGCATCTCAGCGCAGACTTAGTCGCTGGTCCGACCGAAAAGGTCTGAGATCAGCACTGGATGGTGCCACGTGTCCCACTTGAGGGCGCATGGAGGGCACACACTAGACCTCCTCTTCTTCTAAGGTACCGGGGACAGGGAACGGTGCCAGGGTCTGCGCAGTGCTGGGGAGGAGCGCAAATGGCCTGATACCTCCCACACTGAGGCCAGTACGTTCTGCACTGCCGGTGCCAGGTCAGACAATGGGGCTGGTTGAGGAGGTGGTTCCATTAGAATGATTTGCAGGTGTGACTCTCTCTCCTGCTTCGTATGCAGTTTAAACACCTTGCAAATTTTACAGGCCTCAGACAAGTGAGCCTTGCCCAGGCACTTAAGGCAGGCAGAGTGCGGATCACCTGTGGCACTTCTCAGAGGGTTTGAAGCCTTGAGGGCTGGGCATACCATGCCACACGCGCCAGGAGCGTGGAGCAAGAACCGCGGTGGGTCCTTAGGACACACCACTTAACAGCTACTTAAAGAACCGTAACTGTTGAAACTAGAACAAAGAACTTTCGAATCGAGTGACTGATAAAGGGTGCTTGCTAGGCAAAAGCAAGAGCACGTTTCAACGACCGTCGCAGGCGGTAAGAAGGAACAAAGGGGGTGGAGGGCCAGCTTTGGTATATACTGGCTGGTATAGCGGCACCACTCCAGGGGACTCCCCTGCTAGCCCAACAGGTACTGCTGAGGGAAAAATTTCCAACGACACATGCACGCTACACACACACACCTACATGGAATGGACATGAGCAATCACTCGAAGAAGAATTGCTCTTTATCACAGACCCATATCATACTTTCGGCCAAAGTGACTAGACTGTGACCTCTTGGGGGAAGGCACTCCTGCAATATTTATTTCACCAGGCCACTCTGGATCCACCTTGTCTTGATGGAATCCTCATATGCCTATAATGGACAAACGGGTCACGGAAGGGGAAGGATCACAACAAGACAGACTACAATGGAGGGTCAGGGCCTTAACTAATTAAAAACAACCACAAACACACATACACATACTAGGGATGTGAAAGGTTAACTGATTATCCACAAATGCAGCATCCTGTCAAGCCTAACAAGGGTAGGGTTATACCAGGAAAGCTAGTATATACTTCAACAACTCTATTAACTTGGGTTTTGTGCAAATTCACAGACCACTATTAAAAGAGGCCGTATTAACGTCAATAAGAGTCTTTCCCTCCTCCCACGTTGCTCCCCCAATACTCACGCTGAAAAAGTCCTGGTCCGTCGGGTTGGAAGGGGACTGGGGATAAGGTAACCTCGCATGGGAGATGGAGAGCGATCTCTTGTTCTGCGATTTTCGGGCAAGCGGAGAGAACGTGGAGACCCTGGAGGGGACTGCTCAGAAGCTGAAGACGTGGGCTCAGAAGACATTCCTGATCCCTAACGAAAATCTACAGGGGAGAGGGAAATTCCGATTTAGTCCAAGACTTTGACCTTTTCAGTAGAGATCACAGTTTTCCAGTTTCTGTTAAGCTATCAAAGCAGGGACACTTCCCTGTACTCATACACCCAGATATTAATGCTCTAAGGTGAACTGCTATGTGTAGGATCATGTTACATACATTTTTGATCAGCCTGTTCTCATGAAATGCATCAGAAAATTCCCAACGAAAAATTCTAACGGCAACCCGTTGGCTCACAGAATCCTTGCCCTATTTCCAACATGGCTAATCTCATCTAATTAGGGATATTAGATATAAGTTAATTTAATAATCACGTAACTATACCAAACCTTAGTGGTTACATGATTATTCAATAGTCCCCGGAGTGGGGCAGTAGCAGCCTCCGTCCATAGCGGGCCCAAGCTCCCTGCACAAAGGGGCTGCTCTGGCACCCTGCCTGCCCCCCAGTGCTGCTGCCTCAGAGGTAGCAGCGTGCGGGAGAAGGGCAGCAGCTCTGTGAAACTTGTGCTTGGGAGGAACCATCTCCTGCCTCCCTCTTCCCCACGCTGCCTCTGTGGAAGGCAGCAAAGAGAGGGGGGCAAGTGGTCTTGCGGGAACTGATACATACAAAGCCAGTTTCCTGTATGTACCAATTCCTGCATCCCTCCTGCCCCCCGCATCCTCTGTACTGCTGCTTCTCTAACAAAGGCGGTAGTGCTGGGGTGTGGAGACGGCGCCGCAGGATCCGGTGCATTTAAGCCAGCTCCGTCCCCCCCTTTACTGCCTCTGATACAGAAGCAGCGGGGTAACCGATAAGTTCAGGCTTATCAGTTACACAACTACACGCTAACATCCCTACATCTAATGTGTAGTGACAATTTACCTATATAAAAACCCCACAAAATTAAAAAGCATTCCTAGGTTCCTGCCTACCATATTTGTATTTGATAAAAATAATTAAGCAGAGATTCTGGAATTCATTGTAAACCCCGATCCAGAGTCAAAGACCTGACCTGCCTCTACTCAAAAGGAGAAGTGGAACTTTTATTAGAGGCAGAGGGTCTGGAGAATTATAAATCACACAATTGGTTGTTGTTGTTTTGTTTTCACTTTTTAACTTCAAGGAAATGTTTTCAGTTATATGAAAAGTGCTCAGGTATAAATACACAAGCTGGGGGCCTGAAATCTGTGTTTATTCACAGAATAGATTCCACACTGTACAAGCCTTATTCAGCAGAAATCGTCCCCAACCTGAAGAAACCACTACTAGGAAAAAGATAAGTGAGGCCAGGTCTAAGAGCATTTTGCTCTTACGTTATACTGGCAAAGCACTCCTAACTCACATTTACACAGCAGGGCTAAAGCCTAAATAAGCTACACAACTTCAGCTATGTCAATTGCATCGCTTAAGTCAAAATAATTATTTCGGCTTTTGGCGCTGTCTACACAGCAGGAAGTCTGCAGTAGAGCACTCTTCTTCCGACTTCCCTTACTCCTTGTACAATGAGGTTACAGGAGTTGGAGTAACAAGTCCTCCAGCTCAACATTATTTTGACAGTATGTCGAAATAACTGCTTGCAGTGTAGACGTGGACTATGTTATTTCGGAATAACGTCAGTTATTCTGAAATAACACTACTATGTAGACATACCCCTAGTGTAGACACAGATTAGACCAGCAAAACTGAACTTCTGACAAAGTTTATTCAACATAGACTCATAGGGTATGTCTACACTACCCCCCCTAGTTCGAACTAGGGGGGTTAATGTAGTCATTCAGAGTTGCAATTGAAGCCCGGGATTTGAATTTCCCGGGCTTCGTTTGCATGATCCCGGCCGGCACCATTTTTAAATGCTGGCTAGTTCGGACTGCGTGCCGCGTGGCTACACGCGGCAGGAACTAGTTAGTTCGGATTAGGCTTCCTAATCCGAACTAGCTGTACGCCTCGTTCGAACTAGGGGGGTAGTGTAGACATACCCATAGACTTTAAAGTCAGAAGGGATCATTATGATCATCTAGTCTGACCGCCTGCACAGTGCAGGCCACAGAATGTCACCCACCCCTCCTAGAATAATCCTCTCACCTATATCTCAGATATTGAAGCCTTCAAATACTTTGAAGACCCCAAGATGCAGAGAATCCTCCAGCTGTGATCTGTACCCCATGCTACAGAGGAAGGCGAAAAACCTCCAGGGCCGCTGCCAATCTACCCTGTAGGAAAATTCCTTTCCGACCCCAAATATGGAACTGATCATAGCGAATAAGCTAGTCTAACAAAAGTGAGGTTGTTTTATGAAACTACATCAGGGGTGGTCAACTCAATAAAAGAAGAAAGCCGAAACAGCAGTAGAAAAAATCCAGAGTCATTTTTGTTGAGCAAACAAAAAAAAAAAAAAAAGGAAGAGCTCCCTACCAGCCCCCAGAGAGTTGCTGAAGGGGAAAAAAAGCAGGGGGGAGGGCACTGCTCCTTTAAAACAAAAGACAAGGCTTTTTGGCCACATCAGGCTCCCGTCGGCCACCGCCATATCGGCAGCACCATTTTGAATCGCCGCACCGGATGGCTCCCCTGCCCCAGGGAGCACAGAGAGCCAGGGACCGTTTCTAGGGGCACCACGGGAAGCTTCAGGAGCTGCACTTTAAGGGGGGGAAGAGCCTCATGCAGCTCACGAGCTGCGGGTTGGCCACCCCTGAACTACATCTACACTACACAGCTGTGTTAGTCAGCAGTCACAAACTATTCATACCAACGAGCTATGCTGGGAAGCGTCTGTAGCGCAGAACTGGCCCAAGCCTCTCAGCCAGTCAAATTCTCGATTTTCTTTCCAAAACTCTGTCAAAAGGTGTCAAATGGACAAGAACATATCTACCCACAATGACTAGACATAGATCACCCAGGATTTCAATGGCAATTTTCTGTTTCTACCATCTGGGTTGGATTCAGACCAGTGACCAAGGGGCAAAAACTCCTTATTTGACTTAAGAATCGCAGTCTCATGAACACCTGCCAGTCTTGCTCTCACCTACTTTGAATAGCAGGTTCTGTGTGATTACACAAACCATCCAAAACTTACAGTTAACACATTATAGGACAGAGAGCATGTGTATACCTGAAAAGCCTTATTTAAACGTGTGGTGTGATGTGGAACACAAAAGCCAGAAAAAAATAAAAACCTATTACTGAAAGGCCTAGTCAGGGACACAAGTGAAAAAAGAGCTTCCCAAATTGCACATGACTGGTTTTGGCCAATTACAATCAGCCACCTTCTTGTTGGGGCTATAGTATATGGGTATAATCTGCGTACTTCTCCTGAGTGCAACAGCAGTAGAATGCATGTGCACAGGCACAAACAAGCCTGCTTAGCTATTCTGTAAAAAGCCTGGTATCCTGAGGCATGAAATTAGATTTAAAGGGACCCTGTCAACCCCACATATGTGGAGTTGACTAATTTTTTAAAACCCCAGTTACTGACTCTAACCCTAACCCTAAATCTACTTCCTTTTAAAAATCTTTTTTTGTGGGTTTTCCTTTTCCTCTGGTCGATATTCACAAGGGTGTTTTCAACATGGGGGAAAACGACTGGTACAGTACTGATGAATCTACTCTACACAACTACCTTCTCCACCATTGGCTCCCTGCTCCCATCTGGCAAAGGATCACTCAGGTTAGTAGCCTCTCTGCTCCATCACTCTCCTCTCCTGAAGAAATTGCTCTGCCCCTAAATGTGGAGTCAATCCCTCCAAAGACTCCTATCCCACTCAACACAGGCAAAATATCTACTCACCCAAGGCACCCAGGCAAGCAGGTTTCTCCAACCTTCAACTATTCTGAGATGCCAGGTGGCCATTCAAAGCTTTGATGTATTCGATGTTCTCATCCTTTGAGAGCACTGAGCTGCTATTTCCAAGCCACAACCAAGTCAAGTACTTGCAAAACAAAAATTGTGAGCGAGCTTGTCCAAAGGTTTCTCCTTTAGTAATATGCTAGTTTGAATATGAGTAAACTTTCCAAGACTCCTGCAGATGTGTCAATTAACACTCAAGTTCAGAGCAGCTGCACTGTGCTTTTGATGTGCTAATGCTTTTACAATACGGAGAGCACTATGACACAAATATCATGCTCTAATATCTAATTAAACAGGCTTAAGAAAAGAGACTATTTGCATTAAGCCCATTTGTTTTAATCATGCAGTGTGTTAACAAAGACTTAGGCATTGCCAAACTATGTTCCATATACATTCAAAACCCTAATTATAAAGTAGGCAGATACAGTAGGTGCAAGACAAACTTTTAGCTACATTCTTAAGCAAAAACTTTATATCCTCATTTTAGCTAAAATCTTTCACAGAGACTTTGAACACAGCAAACCAAAGCAGCCATTACATAGCAAGAAGCTGTCTGTAGAAAAGCTGTCTGTAAAAAATCACAGTCTAAAAGGTGTATTCTTAAATTAGGGGGCTTTTTTAATGTCAGTGTATTCTATTGACTGTGTAAACACACATGCACCCTTTTTTAAGCAATATAAGATTTAAGGAGGGAAATGGAAGCGAGATGTGTATCAGGCAACATGCATGTTATTTCAATGACTCATACAGGGTACAGAACACTATTAAATACTGTCCTGTAGATGGCCCTATCAAAAAAGTGTCAAGACTCTCTCTCAGGGTAACACTGCCCTGCTGTTTCTTGCTTCCACTGACTTAGTGCAAGGGAATCAATCAGGTACCTTGCAATGATGCTTTTAAACAAACAGAAAAAAACTGAATGAGATGCAGGTTGCCATCGGTAAAGTGGTACTGGTGCTCGTCCTCCACACCCAAGAAACATCACTAGGCATTATGGAAAACATCAGTATGAAGAGAGCAATGTCTTCCCTCTGCACTCAAGCCCGTCTCCAAGGCTATATCTGCACTACAGATAAGATCGAAGCCGCTGCAGTTGATCTTCCAATGTTCGAATTAGTGGGTCTAGTGAAGATCCACTACTTCAAACTGAGAGGGTGCTCCCGTTGATGCTGTTTCTACAAGGAGTAAGTACATACTT